CCTTTTTAATAAATTTATAGACATTTCTAAAATTCTGTTTTCACTTTGTCATTATGAGGTATTGAGTGTAGATTAATGAGAAAAAAATGAATTTGAACAATTGTAGTAGCAGGCTGCAACATAACAAAACTGAAACAAGTGAAGGGGGTCTGAAGACTTTCTGAATGCACTATAGCTAATTTGATTAAGCTCAGAATGCTCTATGATATAAAGCTTGCTCAGTGCACATTTCCATACCAGAGAAGGAGAACAGAGAATCTTTTATAAGCCACTGTGTGTGCTCATTCACACCTTACTAAACCACAATTTGGCATAACAGTCCTGTAAATACAACTCACACAAAAATGCATTAAAATCTAACACAAGGCAAGTTGATTCAAAAGAAATCTGATCTGATATGTTTTGAAGAATGAAACACTTGCAATGCAGCAGAAGCTAGTTAATTTGTTTTAAACATTCATTTAATGAATAACCAGAGATATGTAAGGCTGTTTCTGGAAGTTTATTGCATAATTATTTTTCATGATTATATTGACCTCATGTAAATATCAGGAAGAAGGCAGGAGAACTGCACAAGAAAAATCTTGTCTAGAAGCACCAAAGGTCATCTCTAGAATCCTTCATTATTTAACAGATCAGAGCACATGGTAATCTATTCATACTGTGGCCCTAACTTAACCCCTTCAGAAATTTGCAATAGGTATCACACAAGTCTCATCAGTGTTTTAGTTTGCACTAATGCAATTAATAAGATAATTTACTTATTATGATTTCTAGTTAAAAAGCAATGAATTGAGGAACTTTGAAAAAAATCAAACCTGCTGGAACTACGAGATCTTCTTGAGGAACTATAGCTTCTAGGTGGCGTCCTGGATCTCTTCTCCTTCTTCTTCTTTTCATCTCTTTCTCTGTCTCGGTCCCTTTCTTTATCTTTGTCTTTTGCTTTCTCTCCTTCTTTATCTTTTTCATAGTCCTTCTCTCCCTCTTTTCCTTTCTCTTTGTCTTCCTCCTTTTCTCTGACTTGTTCTTTGTCATCCTTCTCTTTGTCTCCCACTTTCTCTGTCTCTTTCTCTTTCCCCTTTTCCCCTTCCTTGTCCAAATCTTCTCTCTTATCTTTTTCCATATCTGCTGCTCTCTCTTTCTCTCTCTCTCTCTCTTTCCCCTTCTCCCCCTCCTTGTCCAAATCTTCTCTCTTATCTTTTTCCATATCTGCTGCTCTCTCTTTCTCTCTCTCTCTCTCTTTCCCCTTCTCCCCCTCCTTGTCCAAATCTTCTCTCTTATCTTTTTCCATATCTGCTGCTCTCTCTTTCTCTCTCTCTCTCTCTTTCCCCTTCTCCCCCTCCTTGTCCAAATCTTCTCTCTTATCTTTTTCCATATCTGCTGCTTTCTCTTTCTCTTTTTCTCTGTCCTTCTCCTTCTCTTTGTCTTTTTCTCGCTCCTTATCCTTATCTTTCACCCGCTCCTTCTCTCTATCCTTGGTCTTCTCCTTCTCCCTCTCTCTCTCTCTCCCTCTATCCTTTTCTCTGCCTCTATCTTTTTCCCTGCCCCTATCCTTCTCTCGGTCTCTATCCTTCTCTTTTTCTTTATCTCTGTCTCTCTCTCTAACCTTCTCTTTTTCTCTGATCCTCTCTTTGCTTTCTTTCCTCTTCTCCCTGAGGAAAAAAATGTATTAATTCAGCTTACCCAACATTCATTATAACAGAGCACAAGTCAAGTAAATTCAATTCCCAAAGATGTCCTTTAAGAGGATGCAGCAGTGACTGATGGCAGAAAAATTACAACATAGCATCTAGCAACATAGCATAGCAGACAGATGGTAAAATCAATAAAGGAAGACTGGTATTATGCTAACTGCTCCATCCTCATGCCATCTGTGGTCACAAAGGAGTTAAATATAGAGCTGGGTAACATGCAATCATAATTCTACAGTAAGATATACCATTAAATTCAACTTTTAGGATTTCTCCTATTCCTCTTAGTATTAGATGATATTAAAATATATATAATAGCATTAATCATAGGAATCTCACCGAGAAGGAGAGCTGCTTCTTGATCTTCGACGTTCTTTAGATTTTGAACGTTTTTTGAGTGGGCTTTTGGATCTGCGTCTGTCCTTTTGACTAGAGCGTGATCTATCTCGGGATCTACTCCTGTAGCAAGTAATTGTAGAAGCTAAATGCTATAAATTATATTGGTTCTCTTCCAATATTGCCTGCATTATTGTACATTTTTAAAAAATGGAACATTCACACATTATTAAACAACATGAAAAGCCAAACAATATATTCCAAAGCTAACTTCAATGTAAAAGGCAACTGAAACGCAATTATGTTTAGAAAGGCAATAAATGCTGATAATCATATGATCTATCAATTTACAAAAAGAGTTACAAGGAATTCTTCCAAAAGTGCAACATAACAAAACAACATGCACAGCCATTTCAAAGCATCTGAATTTAGCATTAATTATACCAAGTAACACCCTCATGTTCTACATTTTTGGAGGGGGGGGAGAGGGAAGAGAGAGTATCCCGTGGGGCTTATTTCCATGCACATAAAATTTTGCCAATTGTACACGAGGCATGCATGAGGGAGAACCTGGATCCGCCTACTCCATCACAGGAGAAGGTTCAATTATATGAGTAAGAATGTGAATTCGCAGATAAGGAAAGGGGTTTAAGAAATACATTTATTCATTAATATTTTATGTTTTTAGTAAGGTCTCTAAATTTATATATTAATGGATATAAAAAAATGGCTGGAGACAAATATGAATATTAAATATGTAGTACTTCTTGAGTTGAATGTTATGGATCAAGACAGACTTTTTTCATAATCACTTGTAAAACAGTATAATGAAAGCATTTTGGTACACTCATACACAACTTCCTCATTGTGTACATAGGGTTTCATTATGTTTGTGAAGTCTGTGTCTGAAGAATTCTTGGATTTTTTTTTTTAAAAAAAGCAGTACATTTTTATTATTCCTTGACGTGTTGTCTACAGCCATTTTACTTTTGAATCTTGAGACATTTTTCATTTTTTGCTGTTTTTATTTTCTGCAGCATATATCACCACTATCACACTACACAATGTAAAATGTAAAATGAAATATTGATGCACAAGGAAGACCCAATCCCATTTCGTTCCACCTTGGTACAGCCCCTCTTCCCAACCTAACCAAAAATTTAAAGTTCTACTTGTCATCTAAATCAATGCATTTTGATATTACTTTCAAACCAGACTGAATTTGCAGAAACTAACTTTTTTTTTTTTTTTTTTGCAATCTTGGCTCACTGGGGAGCGACAAGCGAGGAACCCTGGTCTGAATAAGAACAAAGTTCCCAGTTTAGGGTACTATAATGATATCTAAGAACAAAGAAGGACTGCAAGTATTCCATTCAACCTTTCGTGATAAGCCAGGATTCTTATTTTTATTCTTCTGGCCACTATTAAGCTTAACTTAGATGTCATTGTAGGCCCTAACTTAAAAGAAAGCATGTTTGCTTTGCATGTGAAAATATTAAATTCCAACAATTTCAGTACTACCTCAGGGTGGCATAAAGATCTAAAAAAAAAAAGTCATGCCACTAAGTTTACTAGCCTCTTAAACTGGACAAAAGAATCTCAATACAGGCATAGCTGTACCACAGTCCAAGCTTTGTGACCTTTGCAGGTATTAATAGCATTTTCAGAAAAGCCTTAGTGGAGTGAAACCACCTTTCCTTTCCATTGACATGAAAAGAGATCATTTCTTTTTTCCCTTTGTGATTTTGCAGAAGTGGCAAGGCTCGGCCGATATCTTCTACTTCTCCTCATTCTCAGTGAAAAGTAGAAGCTGCTGCTAGATGCCTTAGCTGACGTACTCTAAGAAATCTGGTTCTCAGAGCAGACAAATTCACTACAGGTCTCAGAGAAGTTTTACGCGGAAGACTTACCTGCGTTTTGAGTGTGATCTTTTCCTTCGAGATTTTGAACTAGATCTGGATTCTGAACGTGAGTGGGAACGCGATCGACCACCTTTTCTTTCACTGCTCTTTCCAGACTCTGAGAGAAAAAACGACTTTGCAGTGTAAGCTCAGAATATTTAAAGATCCCAGCTAACAATCTGGCACAAGTGGAATGTACCACATATATTGCAAGGGGCCTACTCTCTGCACATCTTCCTTCTTTGCAAAAATCCTTCAGAAACATCCAAGAAAGTCATTGCATATATTCGTTGAGTGCAGCCATCCTGCAGCAGTACACATAAACCAGATAATTATAAACAGCTAGCTAAATAAGGAATGGGATTTGTTGCTGCCACAATGCACAAGATTAAAACATGTTTGGTAAAATTGATTTCAGACAGAAAACACACAAAATCTGAGATAGCATTTTGAAAAGCTATGCAGAAATGCACATGCATAGCACTGGATTTTTATTGTCAAAGCATTGTTACAATTAAGTAGTTAATGCTCAAAACTTTAAAAACATAATGGGCTTGACCTATAAGGGAAGCAATAATTCTAAAACCAGGGTCAAGAAAATAAAATTTTGTTCATTCGGTTTTTATAATGTCTTTATAGCTAATAACTATATGAAATGGTAGACTGATTCATAATATGTATTCTTTAGTACTATCAAATGACTGTGGTATTTAAGGTCATTTTTTTTTTTATAGTGTTTATTGAAAATGGACTGGTTATATGTCAGCTACAGCAAGAAAAAACTACCAAGGTATTTCTGGATGTTTTCTTTCATTTTTAAAGGTTATTACATACAGTTTAAAACAAGGAAAACAAGAATTTTAAGGGTCAGAATTGTCTTTTTCTGTGTAAGGCACTTAAGAAAATTAATGTTTTGATATTTGTTTCTCTGATAATTTGCCAAGTACTTCGGTAACTTTCATTACAAAATCAAGTTATAATCAGACTGCCTATGAGTTCTCTTCTGAAGTTGCGGTAAGTGACTAATTTCAACTGCATGGATTATTTTAGCAGTTTTTATGAAGGACTTCCCAGTCCAATAACTACAGTTTGCAATGCTAGTTTTGACTTTTCAGTTATCATAATTTTCTAATGATTTTGGATATTATAAGTATCTTGATAGATTCAAAAATGTCTTCTAAAGCCTGATACCTAAAATTAAAAAACAGAGCAACTGAGTGTGTTACTTATTTGCACTCAAAGAAAACACTTATATTTCCAAGGGAAGTTACATTTCAACACTAAAGAATGGGGCTGGAAACCATAATGAGATAGCAGTCAAGAAACAATGGAAACAAGAATGGAAGCATGTCAGGCAGTAAGAATGAAAAGTCTGAAAGAAGAATTAAAAAGAATAGAAAATGAAAGAAGGTTGGAAAAGCAAGCAGTTGTGAATGGTTAGGCCAAAAAAAGGAAAGAGTTTTTTAAAAAAAGCTATTAAAAATTATTCAATACTCTGACATTAAAAAGCAGTGCTATCAGGTACCTTAACAGCACATTCTTGACTACAAAGTACTAAAACCATTCAGTGATGAAACCAATGTCATCAAAACTACTGGATCACCAAAGAGTTTTGCCCAGGATAGCCTCTCCCTGTTTCCTAGAGGAAAAAAAACGCTCTACAAATGCACACCAGGAGCTACACCAGTGGAAATACTTCGTTTTCTTGAAAAGCAAGGAAAAGCCTACCTGGCTCAATAGCAGCTGATATAAAAGACTGAGCTTCCCGTACTCTCTTCATCACTTCTTCCAACTCCTTTGCAGCAGCTTGTGGTGTCATTTCAGGAGGCTTCACTATTGCATTATTGGAGTGATTTATTCTAAATTAAACCACAGATTTTACTTAGTTATTTCATTGCACATATGCATATGCCTCATTCTGATGTATTATCTGCTCTTTTTTTTATGTGCAATCAAGTAGAAAATGGGCTCATGTTATTAGCTCACAGCTGGTTTGGACTAAACTCCAAAACAATGATTTTAAAAAATAAAACTACTCATTTTTTATCTTCTTATTCCCTGAGGAATTGTCACCTTTTGTTTTTCATTAGCTTTTGCCTTTACTCTTTCTTAAGGAATCTTATATTTTTAGTGGTAAGTTTAAATATTGCAAGATTTGTTCTTTTAGCTGAAATGATGAACAACATCTGGATTTTATTTTATTTTAAGCAAGAAATGGCATTCTGTTTCTGAAAGATATTTATGTGTGATTTTGCAAATTTCATCCTTTTTTTTTTTTTACATGAGAAAGATCCGAAAGGATAGTATTTGACTCAAGCTAAGTTATATTGTGATTTGCTTGTTTTTGGCTTAGTAAATTAATCCATCCACTGTCGCTTTATCAGTAATGGTTAGGCAAACAAACCATCATTTAGTGGAATATATGAATCCTAGATAATCACTAGTTGCGTTTGCTCACACAACTGCCTAACTGGGACATAATTTCTACAGTTTATTATGGAATATGCATTTACCATGAGGAGTCCTTTCCTTGACTGAAACAATAAACAAACAGCAAGTTATGATTAAATGGGGGGAAAATTAAACCACTATCACATATACATTTTACATAAAAGCCCACAGCTTTTAGCAATTACTTACTCTGCCTATTTCCCCTCTCAGCTGATGAGACAGAAGGCAAATTAATTTGAAAACATGGTACAAGAAAGACCTGAGATCTGCTAGTAAAATACCTCCAAAGGACTCAGACTCAGACTCTTTGCTTCTTCCCCTTATGTCAAATCATGTTCCCATACCTCCTTAAATGCTCCCCCCAACGCTTTCTCATTTAACTGGATCACATTTAATTCTTCTCTGGTTGCATTACTGTTCTCCTAAGCCGCCTCTTCTCTCCACCTTCTTTATTTCCTAAGAATGCATATAGCTCTACCTGAAGCCCAGAGGCATTTTGACTATCAAGATAGCATTTAGCTTGAGCCTATCGCTTCATTTTAAAGAGATCCAAGCAAAATATTAAATTAGCATAGTATTTTAAATTCTGTTAGGTATCAAGAGAACACTTCCCAGATGTAAAAGAGAATGTGGGAATGTGTGTGTGGCCAGTTGCCTATCCCTGTACATATAAAATGAAACAAAAATGAAGCCATTAAACTGCTTCTTATCTGATTTTGCAAAATCTGCCTTTAATCTCTAAATCTTACGGCATTTAACATGGGGGTCTCCAGATGGACTACGATTTCTAGGATACTCAATCAGTACAGTGAATTGTTCAAGATCTCTGGCACAGGACAGGAACCTATCAATGTAGTATAGAATTGTGTCTCAATTTACCAGCTGCCTTTATGAAAATATAACACATACAGATTGGGAGTGTTCTCTAGGGTTTTCATAAAAGCATCTTTCCAATCACATTTTTTCAGATGCTTTTAGTTGAAGATGCCAGGGATGAACTGCAACTTTCTATAGATCAACTTATCCATGACTTCTGACCAAAGTGTATTTATTAGCTAATTATAGCAAATGTGTCACTTGTTTTATTTTGAATAAAGTCAATGAAATACCAATAAAACATTTGCATTTTTCCCATAGACATTCAGCAGACCTATTTGTTGAATGTATGCAATATACTGCTTAAGTAAACCCATGAGGCTTCCACAAATTTTGTGCAAATGCATACAAACATTCCTATAAAGATATGTACATATGATGCTAGAAGCAGGCAACCTAATACTCTCCATTTGCTTTGGACTACAACTTTTAAAAACCCTTTCCATTCTGGCCAATGTTGATACAAATTGATTATATACAATGTATTTTTCTTACTTCAATGGTCTGTCTCCAAACACAACTCCATTAAAGGCAAGGGCTCTAGGTACAGAATTCTGGTCAGCAAATTCCACAAAGGCAAAGCGTGTTGGCTGGGTTTCGTCACCTGCCATCCGCACAAACTTAACTTCTCCAACTTGCTTGAAAAACTCAAGCAACTGATCGGCTGTTGTAGTCTTAGGAAAAAAACAAACTCAGGTTAAAAACAAGTTGTAAACCCTGATTCTGCTTATTGGTTAATCTGAACCTAGACTAACATAAAGAGTAAAGTGTAGTTATATCCAAGAATCATGCCAACTACAATGTTGATTTCTGTCACAATAATGGATCTGCAAACAAAAACCTTTCCTGTATCTTGATTACTGGAGTCACCAATATTAAAAACAAGAAATAATACTTTTATTTCCATGATTCCTAAACAATCACACCTTACACATCTTGTTTAAATGGGCCAGACTATAAGCGTGGAATTTTCCAATTCTCCCCCTTCTCCAAAATGAAATGGTAACAATGATTATTTGGTATCTACTTTAAAAAATGTTAGTTTTGAATATATGGCTTAAGCCTAAATCTGAATTCGTGGCAAAGGAATAAATCTAAAAGAGTAACTGAGAGTTAGTGAAGGATATATGGGTGACGAGAAATTCTGTATGTGCTTAAGATGAAGTTAAGAGAACAATTAACTGCACAGAGATTTAGTTTTCAATGGTTTTCATATGCACAATTAAAAGAAAGATTTAGCACGGATAAAAAAGTAATGGGAATTCAACAACATAATACGGAATTTGAAAATGAATTGCGTACAAATGAACATGTGATTGCAAAAAAGTATAAACTTTTGTTGAAATCTGAAAAGAAGAGGAACATGTTTGCATGATAAAATAGGCTAAGAATTTTGGTTACAATATACAGATGGGTCAATGGGAGAGAATGTGGATAAGGGACTGAAATTTACATTGTGTTATAATTTAAGATAGAATGTTTACAAAATGATGTACTGTTGGTATATGACACCAGAGAAATTATCTAAGATGTATAAAGATACTTCTAGTCAATGTGAAAATGTGATGTTTATTCTTTGTTCAATGCCCCCCGTTTTGTTTTGTAGATTTTGCTATTAGATTCTTTTAGTCTGGGCTGTCCACTTGATTTAATGTTTTTAGCTGTTTTTATGTTTTCTCTAGTGTTGTATGCCACCCAGAGTCCACTGGAGTTGGGTGGCCACTAAATAAACAAACACACACACACAAACATGGAGGGTCATTTTACTATGCATGGTAGACTTCTGAAGAAAAAAAAAAAAGGAAACAGATACATACGATGATACAAAGATTTTTGAAGATTAATATTGAGATGAAACCAGAACTCTTTTTATTGGGACTTATGAAGAGTCAATTAGAAAAGACTTATGGAAGACTGATTTTATATATGGTAACTGCAGCAAGATTATTATATGCACAAAGATGGAGAAATACTGAAATACCCACAATGGAGGAATGGATCATGAAGAATTAGCAGAGATGGCAATAAGTACTTTTATAAAAGACTGGAAACCTTTTATGGGCTTTTTGCTGAAAATGGAAAAAAGTGAAATGGTGATATCTGGATTTGATGATTGAAAAAAAATTAAATAAGGGGCTGAAGGGGTTATTATAATGTTAAGGAAGGGAGGAAGGATAATTAGTTTGTAACTGATGTAAAGAAGGGCAGAAGTAGCTTCTTCAACTATCATTTTTTCTTTAATTGCATTCTTTTCTGTACTTTTTTCTTTTTCCCTTTTTCTTATATACTTCTGTATTTGTCTTTTAGCTACGTAAAACGTTTAATAAAAATCAATAATAAAAAGAAGTTCTGTATGTGAGATGGGCCATTTTTTGGTAGTGTCAACGGAAGGGAAGGAACAAAAGAAACTAGAGAATAAATGAGAAGTAGATATGTAAAAGATAACACTGACGCAGCTTGGAATAGAATGGAAATAAGTGCTACAGAACTATATTGAGTTATGCTAGTGGAACACCATGATGGAATGAGGAAGTGAAAAAGGCTAAACGAGAAAACATGCATAAAGAAGAATGGTTGCTACAATAAATGAGCACAAAATAAAGATACCGTATAAGGTAAATACAGAGAAAAAGACAATTGCAAAAATGAACTGAAAAAGAGTAAGAAAGAGTTAACATTAAAAGTAGCAGAGAAAAGAAGCATTGATATTGATCGATATAAGAACTGTTTTGGAAGTGTGTGAAGAGGGGTATGTAGGGAGTCTTCAGCAGAGTAAACCAAATTAAAAGTGATTACATTATTTGGGATGAAACTGAGAAGAAGGAATGCTGAAGGAGTATTTTAAAGATTTGTAAGGAATGCTGAATAATAATAATAATAATAATAATAATAATAATAATAATAATACATTGAAGAGCAGAAATGAAATGAATGATACAAATGTTGGTGTTCAAGGAAAAAAATGATAAATCAATCCTTTATGAACACTGAAAAATAGTACAGATGCAAGTATAGAAGGTATAACTGCATAAACACTGAAAATATAGTTTGTCTATGGAGTGACTCTGTCACTTGTTTAACATGTGAAGATTGTATGTGTTCCAGTTATTGTATAAAGGAATAATAATGGCATACTTCCAATGGAAAATGAAAAGGAGAAAAAAAAAAGAAAGAAAAAAGGAAAAGGGAAAAGACAGTTTGGTGTAGTGGCTAAGGTGCTGTCCTAGAAACCAGAAGTCTGTGAGTTCTTGGTCACCCTTAGGCATGAAAGCCAGCTGGGTAACTTTGGTCAGTCACTCTGTCTCAGTCCAACTCACCTCACAGGATTGTTGTCGTGGGGAAAATAGATGGGCAGGAGTACTACATATGTTCACCACTTTGAGTTATGCATATAAAAGGCAGGATAAAAATCTAGTAACAACAAGTAGAAGAAAGAATGCAAAAACTATGGGGGGAATTACTTTGTTCCATGCTCCTGGAAAGGTGTTTGGCAAAATTCTGATTGAAAGAATAGAAGAGATGGCAATGAACAAAATTTGAAACTGAAGTTTTGGTTACTGAATACAGTAAAAGCAATATATTATGAAAGTAAAGCAAGCGCAGTGGAATGCTTATCAAATGGCTCAGTGCTGAGCAGAATGCTTATCAAAGGGTTTAACACTAAGAATGTGTGACTTCTTATATTCACAGATAAATGAAACTTTTATGTCAGTGTTTCTCAACCTGGTTGGCTGAGGAATTCTGTGAGTTTAAGTCCAGACATCTTAAAGTTGCTAAAGTTGAGAAACACTGTTTTATGTCATGGCAGCCACCCTTCAGACCATTATCCTCACAGAGATCAGATTGGCCTCAACTCTATCAGCCTCTCCTAAAGCCTTAAAAACTTGGTTTTGCCACTGGGCCTAGGAAGGGGAGCTGAGCCTGTGAATTGGTTATGTTATTCTGTGACTGATGGGTCTTTTAACCCAGCTGCTGTTTTATGTGTTTAGTTTTTATTTTTTTCTGTTTTTATACTTTTTTAATACTATTAACCACCCAGAGTCATGAACTTGAGATGGGCGGCCATATAAATTAAAATAATAAATACATAAAGGAATGCCAGTAGTGATATTAGAGTTGTACTGATTGGAGATATGAAGGTATATATAGTATTATATGCAGACACAGCTGGGATGATTTGTAGTGAATGTTAAATACAGGCAGTCCTCATTTAACAACACTAATTTGAGCTAGAAACTCTTTCATTAAGTGATGTGGTCCTAAGCCAAAAAATCACATGACAATGCTGCTTAGCAACAGCAGTTCTGGCAGTCCCAGCAGCCATCATTAAATGAGGACAATGTGGGTTGTTAAGCAGGGACCTCACATGACTGCGATCTCTGACTTCCTGCCGGCTTCCCCACTGACTTTGCTTGTGGGAAGCCAGCAGGGAAGGTGGCAAATCACAATCATGTGACCATAGGATGCTGCAACAGCAGCAAGTATGAGGTCCGGTCGTAAGCACCACTCATTCAGTGCCATCATAAGTTGCTGAACAAGTGGTGGTTAAATGAGGACCACCTGTATATTGTATGATTCAACAGGAAATATGGACCTGAAAATCAAAGTATGAAAGACCAAGGTAGTTGGATTTGATGGAGAGAATGGAGCAAACAACTGCAAGTTATACATAAATGACAAAATAAGCAGCTAACTTTTTATTAATGTATTTCACTGTAACAAAAACGTTTACCTGGGAATTCAGGTTTCCAACATATACAGTCCTTCTAATTTCATCAATCTTGGAAGGATCCACATTACCCATAATGGGCGGCTGGGGTATGTCTCCAATGGCTGTAATGTTATGGTCCAATGCTGTGGCTGGTATAGCTCCTAGTGGACCAAGGGAAATTCCTATCTGTAAATAGAAGATAAAAGAATACAGAAACAAGCACAGAGTCTTTCTTCTACTTCAGACCAAAACAAAAATATTTTTGTACTGATTTCAAAAATATCTGAGAACACTATAAAAAAATCCACTAAGGTATAACTTCAGTTTAAAACATGAAGCAATAAGCTCTTCAAACTGAACTTCCAGGCCAGTAAAGCAATATTCTTAGCAGAAAAATCTGTACAAAGACTGAATAACTGAACTACTAAGCAGACCTGCTTCAGTCCTTTTAATCCCAGAAACTTCAGCACCTTTCTATGCAAGACTGAACCAATCTGTAAACATCTGTTTTTTCTTGCTATTTTCTCTGGTCCCCTTTGCTTATGTAGACTTAGTGGTGAAGTCTAAATCTTACTATGCTAGGGTTTTTGGTTTATTCTAATAAATGCCCCATCTTACTTTGGATTTTAAGTAATTACCCATTAGGCTGTGTCAGAGCCATCCCTACAATGGGCCACTTACCAAAAATGCAACTGAGTCAACTGCAGCCTTGTCAAGAAACAGTATTAAATCCAGCATTACTTACTGAACTCACAGGAGGCGTTGGTATAGGAAGCAACCCTCCACCAGGAATCAGACTTGTCATTGTTGGAGCAGGAGCCAAGAGGGAGAGGGCTTTGGCTTCATCTGGAATTTTACCTGAAGAGCAAAATGTTTTTGTTATCAAAAGTAAGGCCACCTTCCCAATTTTATTCTATTTATTATTACCCTTCAACTTAAATAAAGAAAAAAAAACTACAACAGCCTTTAAAAAAAGCAAAACAACACACGTTTTTCTTTCCCCTACTCCACTAGGAACAGTAAGTGAGCAAAACTACAATCTCATTACCGGATTTTTACTTTAAAAACTGAACAATGAGTAGATAATTATTTAACACTTTGAGCTATGGGTCACCTGTACTGGAAACTTAATGTTCATGAACCAAACGATATCAAGCATGGACGCTTTCGCAGGACGTTGTTTCACGGTGATCGAAAGGTGTGTTACACATGACAACCGTTCGTGTTGGCTGCATCACTAATAGCACACAGAACATCAGATACAGAAAAGAAGAACATTTTTTAAAGTTTAATCCCCAGAAATGGCAAATAACCAAATCAGTCAAAAAGAAAAAAAAATAGGAAATAGGAGTGTGCTAAGCAAAAACTGGCCTTTTCTTCTGCTGAAAGTGGCTGTGAAAAATATTGCCAGCTGATCACCAGTGGTCAATCTGGTACAACAAATCAAGCAAGGCAAGAAACATAATAATTCATAGCTTAAGTACTTTAACATACCAAGGCTCACAGCCTCTGTAGCATTACAAGGGGTTGTGCAATCTAGAGTCTTTACAAAAATATTTGCTTGATCACTGACACAATGTTTTATCTGCATAACGACAGTGCAGTTGATCCACTGCTGTATTTATAAGACGACAAGGAGATTCTATTTGTCTCCATACACGCTCTGGGAGCAAGGCTTACCTCAATACAATTGCTCAAGTTCTTAACCCAGAAATGTTTCAGGTTAGGGACTCTGGACTAAGTGCTTTTGAAGTAGAAAAGCAGGATAAAAAATACTTTAAATAATTAAATAAAAATTATTTTGTACTAACCATGCTTAACCATGTTTCCATAATGGATTACAATTGGATTGAACTTACTAAAAATGTACTTTAAGGATAACCAACTTATATTATCCTTAAAATGCTTAACAGCAGCTAATTACTGTATTGTGGGTTATGCCTAAACAATCTAAGAGTAAATGTTTTAAGCACAGACCACTAAATGGATTAGTTCTAAATCTAACCAGAAATTACAGACTGCACCTGGCAAAATACTCTGCCAAGGAGTCACCTTTGCCTGAAGTAACTGTTACTTATCAGAATAAGTAAATAATTTTAGTCAGTTTGGTCGTCATAGAGAATCTAATTATCTAGAATTATAACAGCATTTCTAAAGGGAAAAAATATACAGCAATTTTCTGTAATTTCTTGTATTAAAAGCCCCACCAACTAATCCTCTGATGCTATAGTGTTGATGCTCCATTAAAAAAAAGCCAAAGATATAATGTGCATAACAATTCAGATCTTTGAATTAACTTCAAAAAAGTTATCCCACATAAAAAAGGTGAAGATGCTTCTGATATTAAAAAGCTGCCTGAAGATCTATATTAAACTTTCTGACTTGAGTTTCTGAAGGATACAATGAAAATGTATTATTTAAATTTTAATGCACACTACAAAAAACACCTGTTTAAAGTTTATTATATATAAAAGTTGCAGACTTTTGGTTGGGGGGGGAAAGACCAGCTACATAAATAACATATTACTGTTTCACTTCACTGAATGGATCTAAAAATAACAGGATCTAGACTGAAATGGTAAGTGGACTGTATTTAAATGAAAGTATTTCAAGACCAATCTGCTATCATTCTACTGAGGAATAAGTCCCATAGCATTCAGTTGGACTTATTCTTAAATCAATTGTTATTAACTGCAGCCTTCCATGACTGTATCTAATTGGTATTCCTGCTACTGATGGAAGATTTTTTAATCCAGTGGAGGCATTCACTAGCCAAACAGGGAAAGAAGTAAATTTCCTCATTCCTGGAAGAAGCAGAGAAATCATACAGAGTAGTGAAGGGTCATAGAGAGTAGCCTCTCCCACTTAATTAAGGAACTTTTGATCAGTGGATAGCCACCAATTACATACTACACTATAGCAACTTATAGTAAATACCTGAATTTATCTTTCTAAACTACATAGCTAAATGCTAATAATTTACTAGAGAACAAACCTTCTTTTAAAAAGCCAAACCAAAAAAAAAATTGAATACCCATTTTCAAAACTAAAGAAAATAAAAAAATCTAAATATCTGCTACATATAAACTTACATCCAGAAAGAGCCCAACTGTACCTCACTCAACTTGTGCAAGACCAATCTTTTACTTCAGTAAATTATGCAAGACTAAATACAATTGCATTTTTTCAATGTAATCATAAATAAGGAAGGAATGAAAATTCATAAAAATGTATTTCAACAGTTATTTCTGCAAAAGACATTCCTACGCACAGGACTCCTTAAGTGTACAACACTCAGCACTGGTGATGGCTCAAATGACACTTAAAAGCAATGATGTGAAGCATGAACATGCACAAAAGGCTTTCACTCAGAACTAGACCATGTCATTTTAAACTGATTAGTAACTGTAACTGCTACTTCAATCTGTGTAATTTATTTCTGTCAATTTAAAACTTCTGTCAAAAGTCTTACCCCCTCACTTTAGGCCACCTTTATCCTTCTAAATAATTTGTAGCTTTAGCATAGATCCCGCTGGTCCATTATATGAACCAAAATTTCTAGTAAGGTCTACTGCTAATAATGTAATTCCCTACTTACTGATAAAATTACCAGAGCACAATAAAATATTGTTTATTAAAGAAAAAAGACACACAAAACTACAATAAAAGATGTCAAAAACAATTTGTGAACTCTCATTTCTGTTGCAGAAAAAAGTAAGTTATTGTTCTTGGGAAGGTTCTGCAGAAAATATTCAAATTCTATGATGTGTCTCTGCTGAATCTGAGACAGACTGTCGTAATCATGTGCCAAGATGCAAGAAAGAAAAAGTGATGCTTGTCACCTTCCCACAGAATGCTACAGTAAAGAGAAGACAATATACAAAACAAACACTGGTCAGTGCAGCCTTATTTTGAGCACTCCCTAATTTTTCAAGTTTTGTTACAGAAATTAGTATATTGAATATCAAATTAAACAGATGACCTATTGATCTTGAAATAACACTAGCCTTCTTGACATATCAAGTTATCCATATGTTTATATATTCTGCAGTTCAAATCTCAATGGGAAATCTCAATAGGCTTCCACAAAGCTTAGACATGAAGAGGACCATTTCTAGGTATTTGCTAAAATACATATTTTGAAAAGTAAGAATCAGAGAGGTTCAGGGTGGGGACATGGGGAGAAGAAAAGAAAGGAAGTTTCTGAAGACATTTCAGAAGAAATGAACACTTCAAAGTTTAGTCCAGAGAAAACTTTGTATAATATAATAGCTGAGTTATATGGAGGTAATGTAAACAATTTGATCACTTCATTTGGCAACCAACATAGTTCTAATTAAGAATACATAAGTTATTAAATGCAAAGTCTAAGCTGATTTTAGAATTATGCCAGCTCTTACTGACATTAGTATTTAGAATTAGTATTAGTTTCACAGGGTCAAGTTTAAAATGAGTCATGAATTCCTATAACAGAACAGCATTTTTACAGAACTGAAAAACCAGTTCACAAGTAGAAACAAAAGAGTTACAGCAAGAAAGGGACAAAATTAAAAAAAAAAGAGAAAAGAAAAGAAAGCAAAACAAAACAAAATAATAAAAACAGAGACAGGGCGTCCATCTTCTGCAGGCCAGACTCCGTTCTCATTTCCCCCATGAAGTTGTCACTTGGCGGCAGGTTTAGTGGCATGGCAAACAATGCCTAATTCAGGCAAGTGTAACAGGTCTGCCTTGGCCAGTCTAGTCATCTAATAATGCACAAATATCACACAGAGAAAACATACAAAACCAAATTAATAGTCAAAATCCATCTACCAGAAAATGTGGACATAAAGTTCAGAATGATGATTAAAGGTGGCATCAGATGTATTTCAATCTTGTCTTCTCTCAAAGTCAGAGAGAAATCTCAAATACACATAAAATGAGAAGGGAACCACGCATTTTGACAATGTGATGTTTCATTGTATCCAAAATCACAAAGTAAGTGATGAAGTATGAGTTATATATTTGACATCATTTTTACTATTCAGTGAAGCCACTGCCATGCAATGCTGAGAATCATTCCTGACAAACAAGATGAACATTTCAAAAAGGTCTCAACATTCTTCTCTCCCCATGTCTTTTTGTGTCTGTCTTTTGTACAATAATCAGTTCAGAAACAGAAACCATATCACACCATTTGGATTTCTCAGTAGAGAGTAAATCAACAGAGCACTTGTGCTCTACATCCTGCATTAACTCTCCACTTTTCATATGAAATCCAAGGAAGCTGAGGAGTCTGATAATATACAAGCCTATGGATTTGATCTGAGCATTTCACTTCAATAAAACCATATGAATCACATGTAATAATCTCAAAACTAAGATAATTAAGAAATTATATTTACCCAACACTGACTGTAGAGGAATATCTTCGCATACTTACTCTGGAATAGCTGTCAATAGGCTTACTTTTGGGTAGGCCTATTGGTAGAACAATCCTTCCCAATCTGAGTATCTTTCACCTGTATTCAATGAATTCCTCAAATTCCCAGCCAAAACAGTTGAAAGCTGGTTGAGAATTCTATGAACTGAAATTTAGCATATCTGGAAAGGACCCAGTTGGGGAAGATCTCTGTATAAATTCAGAGGTTTGGAAAAAAGAATTTATACTGCATGGGTGGAGGAGGTAAATGCTAATGATTGCTGCATTCTCTTCAATTGTTTTTCCATGTATCAATTTTGTAACCCACACAGACTGTTAAAATGGTAAATTATATGCAAAATTCAAACCAATACATTTTATACATTTAATTCTAGATGTAGTATCTTATTGATCTAATGCAGTAATACCACATAATAGGGAATGCATTTTTAAAACCTAACAACTCATTGAGTGAGGAATTATAATTTATCTAAGTGTCATTGTAATATAAATGACTTTGCTTTCTGTTAACTCATCTTATTAGGGAGCCAAATTTAAACAGGGCTAAGGAACACCACTAAATCCCTTGTATTAGCCTAGTGGCAAATTTAGTAAAGTTAGCAAAGAGAAGGCTTTTTCAGCTAAAGGAAACTTTGTGTCTTTCTGAGCTGTTTCTAGCACAGAATACAAGATAAAGTGAAGAACAGAAATTGTCTTTTCATGTGCTCTTCTACTCCTGGCATGGAAACTCCACACATACAGGAGATATGGCATATCCTTCTTAGTAATCAAATATAAAAATACAAGCAAGATTACAATTTATAACAGAAGTACAAGCCAATATATTGAGCCTAAAAAACTTCAAAGATGTATGTAACCTTTGATAACTATGGTCATTTTATGAAGCTATTCCAAAATCATATTGTTGCAGACAGAGAAAGGGAATACATGAACCTGATAAAATGGTATTTTTATATATTTGTTTTTCCTAAATAAACCATCAGTACAAACAAAAATGAATTAGTAAAAATTAAATAACCTAACTTACTAATACTTTTAAGACATTATTCTTATCAAAGACAACTTTGCTTTTAAAGCATCTTTAAAGGCACTCATTTGCAATACTCTCAACCCAGATATGCCCACCTTATTGCACTGGAAAATGAATCTGTTACTTAGAACAAAACTATGCCACATTTAGTTCTCTGTAGACAAACTGTATAGTTGTATTATAAGTAATATATTCCATTCTGTGTATATATATTAATTTGCTTTATTTCTTTATATTTAATAAAATATTTCATAGAATTAAGTCTATCAAGAACTGTGACAAAATTGTGAGGACCAAGAAGAACAAGTAAAGATGTTTAACAGCCCCAGCAGATACCTCTTTGATATTTGTGTTTTTAGGAAGCTTTAGATTTTTCACAGCCAAAAGAGCTATGAAGCTTATTTAGAACAAAAAACAAAACAATCTGGACTCCACAACATAAACTCTTCAGACTATACACAGCCCTGTCAATGGAGCCCCCGCTCCAATATTCTACAGTAATCCACTAAACTGCTATAAGATAACCTACATTAATTGGATAAAGATATTCCAAAGGAAAAATGGGAAAAAAAAGTGTGAAAAATTGAAAGTGTCCCAGGTCACAAAGGAAGACTATAGACAGGCAGCCTAGAACTGTTAAGCTACTTTCCAGAAAGCAAAAGTTCAGCATGAACTAAGTTTAAGGATGCTAAGAATAATAGAAAAAACTTCTTTAGATATGTTCACAATAAATAAAAATGGCAAAGTGCTAACAGATGGCAAAGTGCTAACAGATAACAAAGTAAATAAAGTCAGAGCTACTCAATCCTTATTTTAGTTCATTTTTTTCCAAAAAAAAAGTATGAGTTCTACCAAGTAATTATGAAAAACAGTAGGCTCGAGTGGAGGCTAGACAGCCATCTGATTGCGATGCTTTAATTTGGATTCCTGCACTGATCAAGGAGTTGTATTCAGGAACTTAAAATGAACCCTTCCAGCTCTGTGGCTGAAGCTTGGCACTAACAGAAACATAGTTGGGGATTATCTTTTTATTTTGAATGAGTTTAAATTTCCAGGGCCAGATGAATTGCATGCTAGGGCACTGAAGGAAATAGTTAATTGGCTTGGCTGAATTCTTATACATTTTCCTTCAGAAATCCTGGAGAACTGGTGAAGTGCCAAGTGACTGGAGGACAGCCAATATCATCCTTATCTTCAAAGAGAGGAAAAAGAAAGATTCAGTGCCAGTCAGCCTGACATCAATATCTAGGAAAATTTGGAGCAGAAGATAAGGAAATTAATTTGGAAAAAATATGGTACTTACCAAATGTTAGCATGGACAAATCTTGTCAAATTAATCTTATCTCGTTTTTTGATTAACTTCTTTAACAGATTTTGGGGATGCTGTTTATTTACTGCAGCAAAACATTTAATAAAGTAATTCATGACATTATTAGCAAGATAGTTAAGGACTGGGTAACAATTAAGTGGACACAGCTGTGTCAGAAATCATACTCAGAGCCTGCATACTGATCGTTCCTCATCAACTCAGAGACATATCAAACAGAATGCCACAAAGATCAGTCCTGTGTCTTCTATGCCTCAATATTTTTTATTAAACACTTGGATGAAAGAAAGGAAATGCTTCTAAAATTTGCAGAGAACATAACATAATGAGATAGCTAATACCCCAGAAGTCAGAAATAAAATTAATAATGATCTTGAGAGTTTTGGAGAATGATCTGAAACTAACAGAATTAAATCAATCAGAAATAAGTGCAAAACTCTTCCTTAGAAAACAACCATTAAATGTACAAGTATGGGATGGAAAATATATGACTTGGGAATAGTACTTATAAAAAGGCAAATGCAATCTGCCTGAATCATGGTAAATACTATTTTTACTTCATTCTACTTTGGCCAGAATAGTGCAGTACTTCAAGGAGCATTCAGAGAAGTTGTAAGAGATGCATATTGGGAGATGAGCAATGAGGGAGGAACTAGAAACAAGTATTATAAAGAAATATTGAAGGGGCTGTATATGCTTAGACTCGAGAAAAAACAACTAAGATATGATAGAACTCTTCAAATATCTGAAAGGATTTCATATAGAAAGTCAAAATCAATTCTGTATCATTCCAACAGAATAATTAATTTAAATTTCAGAAAAGCAGAATTAGACAGTTAAAAGAAACTTCGTGACAGTAAAAGCAGTTTGTAAACAGAATCAGAAGCTATTAATTCTATCTATAACAGATTTATAGAAAGTAAAAGGCTGAGGATGTAAAGGCTGCAGATGGCAATCATGGAACCAGTGGTTCCCAGCCTAGAGAGAACCATTATAGTAAAGGTAACTCAGCCACGTCCAAGGGTCATCAAATACCCCACCAAACAGCTTTAATTAAGAAGGGCAAACAAGAGATGCCTAGAGTTTAAACTCTGGAGCATAGCTGTAGCTATAAAGTTGCAGTGGGCAATCAATTGTTGAGTTTTGAAACATACTGTGCCCCCACTGAGCTACACTTCATTAGTTCCCGTAAGTCTTGAACTACTTACAGATATTTTTGTTCAAAATCCCACCTTTTAACTTCTGCCTGAATAATTAGAATTGTACTGTAGGTTTCAGCTGTTGTTCCCAACATTTTCCCTTTCTATTGACTATGAACAGCAGGAATGAATCATTACCTCTAGTACTTTTCAAACTCCACTCTTACCTGCATGATTATTCTACTTCCTTGCCTCTCTACTCCAGCTACAAAACTGGCATTCAAATATACATACTGAGCTAACACAACCAAAGCTAATGCAGGAATAACTGATTATGTAAATATTTTGCAACACTACTATCCAGAGTAAATGCACGCTAACACTAATATAGCCCAATTAAACCCATAGAACACCCCACTTAACTAAAATTCCAATAATATTAGAAGTATATACAGGAATAATTTTTTTCAGCAGGCCTTTGCCTTGAAAAATGGCATGGGCATCAAAAAAATAAAAATAAGCAAAAATGGTTGAAACCTCATCCTATATGTGATTTCACATGGGAGATTTGATTTCAGTCATTTTTAAATATTTAATTACTCTATTCTATTTTACTTGACTCATAATGGAAACTAAGAAATATAGTTTTTTTACTGAGGTAACACAGTAGTGTGCTCACTCCCACTTAATTCAAAATATATTTAAGACATTTTCAGATGTAATTATGTTTTGATCTGTGTTGCTGAACTCACTTTTTCTAGGCAAATAGTCAACACAATATTTTGGAATAAAAAATTTTAGTGAAAGAAACAAGTCTTCATCCTTGTAAAAGACTAAATTACATTAAATAAAGTATCCATATATTTTAGAACTAAAGAAACACTGAAAATTTATAGAACTCCATGTAATTTCTTCTTTCCTTTTTATTGTCCTGTTTTATTGAAAGAACAGCAAATGCACACATGGTATCATCTCCTTCCCAAATGCTAAAAAAACATAAGAAACAAGCTGACAGAGTAAAGACCACAAAAATAAAAAACATGTTTAAAATACCAACCTTCTGCACAGGGCACAACTATCAGAGCTCTGTCAATAAAAACTGTGTTTGTTAGATGCTGGGCCACACCAACACTTGAAGATTCCCGAAACTTAATATAACATACTTTGGAGGAAAAAGCGAGCGGTGCATTGCTGCAAGAAAAAGAAAACCAATTAGATGTTACAGTTTAATCCTGCTTTTTCCAGCTGTGCTAAAAGGCAACTATGAACACAGAAATACAAAAAAATTAAGACTTATATTTTTCCATATCTTTTTAGTCCACCTTAGGCTGATGCACATATAAATTAAGTTATTCACTAAGTACAGAAGATACTAGGCTGTAGTTCTTCTACAGATTTTTCATTTCTGATGTGTCCACTTCATATGTGGTTAGGAATATCAAGCTTTTGCCAGAGTCAATATCACTTAACAGTTGAGCTAAGAGTCCTATTTACTCTATAATATAACAAAATATATATCTAAACATCATCATAGCATTGTTGATGAAATATTACTTCACTAAGACTAAAATTTAAATTTTAATGTGTCCAAAAATATTCCACTAATATTTTATAAACTATTGTTGACTCCAATAATATTTTAATAAATGTCATATGACCCTTCTATGGCCCATTTAGGTGGCACCTTCTAAGTAACTTAGGCTGATCTTGAAAAAGCAGTTCAACCTAGTTAGAGCATGAGGTTTCTAGGAACTGAACTCAAACTGGAATAAAGACCATATATTATGTGAAGTTCTGTATGTGACTTAATATCTACAATTATGCTAAGATATTTAAGAAATGGTTTAACAGAAAACATTTGAAAAAGACCCTTTCTGAAATACACTTGATTTCTATGTCTTCCTTTGGATGCCTTATCATGTTTGTATCATTCCTTCTTTGACATTAAACTTGCAGGCTCATTTTTAATCACTCTGACATAACATTTACAAAGTAAGAATATTTCAGCCTATATAGAATGCTTCCAATTATCTCCCTCTGTATAGGTTGTAATCTTGGAAAACTTAGACCAGGAGGCTCTTCAAAGGTTATAATTAATAAACTATTTTACGTTCAAATACTGTGATACAGTGTTGAGAATTAAGCTGTAAATATATTATTAATATCCCAACTTTCTGCTAAAAGGACACTCAAAACAGCTAAAATGTTAATACATTTAGCAACTGAATTAACTGCAGATATGGAAGACCAAATCTGAACTAGGATATCATAGCCGATAAGTAACATATCTCCAACACTATGGTGCTGATCTATGCTGGGTCCTCAGCATAGGCATTTAATTTTCAAAAGCTATTCACACACAATTGCTAACTGCATAAATGGTGTCATATTTAGTTTAGTTATGATTACTGTACATCAGAAAACTATACTTAATGAAGTATGCTTCGAACTCTACAAATACTTAATTTGTATTAATCTCTTAATTAATCTTAATTAATCTCTCCACACTGAGTAAACAGAAACAAGAATAGAAGAATTTCAACATCAGTAATTTAAAGTAATATACAATCAGATGAAACATTCTGATCTCAAAAATGGTAACTGGGTCTGAAATGGTAGAACTGTCAACTACCATAGTGAATTAGGTAGTAGGATCATGGATAACTTTAGACCAATTATAGGAGCAATGAAAATGCAAATTCATATTCAGAAAGCATTAAAAGAGATCCAAAATTGGGCAGCAAGAAAATACGTACAGTAATGCAGTGCTTCTATTGTGTGCAGTTTGAATTTTCTGAACAGAGACTGCTGTAAGGAAAGACTAAAGGGCTTTCTAATTCAAGGAGAAGAAATAATTCAGTATTAAAGGTCAATGACCAGCAGCCTGTTTTGTCTTAGAGGAGTATGGACATGGGACCAATGGACCATATGCAGACTCCCAAAATTCCGAGACCACACATTTGACATTTTGCAACAAAAAGGCTATTTTGGCAGAGCAAATTCTGGATATTTTTCAGGTTGAGATGAGGAATTCAGAGTGGGAATGATATCATTGTGTCTCAGAGATGTCCCATTCCCTTTCCTGCTATTAATTCAAAAGGAATACTTAAAATGGAATAAAACTAGAAGTTGCCTGTCTCTATTTTAGTATGATGTATCAATCCTGCTGTTATGTTTTGCAAACCATGGTACATTGTTTAACATGCTGTGCAAATCCAGCTAATTAAGGTTTATTTAATAAACCATAATTAACAAAATCATGGCCTAATGTGATGTATGAAAACAGTCAGTACAAAATACTCTTCTGTGCTCTGCCCATCAAATGATGGGGAGATAATTGGAAGGCTGGGACAGGCTATTTTTTGGAAATTAAATGTTGAATTAAATAGATTTTGGCTTTTCTAATAAAACAATTCTTATTTCTGTAATCTATATTTTTTACATACCAAGAATTAAAAAATAAACTTAGATTTTTATTGTATAGCATTAAGAAGAAACCATAATGAA